GTCAGTAAATTGAATATCTTGATAAAGTGACTAAAAACTGCAGTTTTGTGTCTCTCGATATCTACCATATTCCTGCAATGAATTTATATTAGGTACACATGCGATGCAGCATTGAATGTTCTTTAATTATTTAAATATAAAAGTTTTCTCTGGGCGGAATAATTTTGGAGTTCTAAATCAATTACATAAAAAAGTTTAAAACTTCTGTGGTTTTTAATATTCTGTAACTTAACCTTGCATTAGGAAAAACTACAATAATCTTTTATGAAATCAAATAAAGTGATTAGAGTTTGCTTTCATACATTTACTACCAGTATCCAGTATCAGGCCCCACAGGGTCTAATTTTACTGACCTAGAGTGCCAAAAACTGCAAATATATTTACGTGTGTGTATGTGTGTATATATATATATATATATATATATGCACAGACACACTCTCTCACATACATATACACCGTGCTACGAAAGATTCGTCGAACAAATCAGGGGTTATCAGGGATCGAAGAGGAAGCAAGATTAGAAATGAAAATATTAGGATCGTTCTGAAGTTTATTATGGAAGGACAGGTATCTGGATTGGGAATTGGAATTGGAATTCAGAAACATATAGAATATTAAAGTCATTATGGATGATTTTATTTGCAACAAAGTAAGGAGCATTGAGGATTTTATGAAGGATTTTGGGTATGTAGGGATTGCGGATTGGATACGAGAGGAATTTGATGGTTTAGTGCAGCTCTAAAGTTCAATTTCGTATGTCCAAATAGACCTTATTACAGTCATGTATATGAGTCTTTTGTAATTAATTAGAAGCGTAGATCTTTTGTTTAGTAAGTGCTGAAGTAGTCGGAAACGACAAGCTATTTCTTGTCGTTTCAGACTGGTAAGAGGATTACAAGTTAGAAGTTTGTCCAGTCAGAGTCCAAGGTATTGGATTTGTTCAACAGGGATGAATTAATTTAAATTGGGATTTTATACGTTCACACACGCGAACACACACACACACATACACACACACACACAAACACATACACACACACATATATATATAGATTGTTTCAGGGTTAAATGGCCAAACTACAAAAATGAACTAAGGACCTCAAAACAAGAAAAAAATATCTTCTGAAAGTATGTCTGCAAACACTTTGTTTATGAGATATTCACACCTTAAGTTTTTCATTGTTTTGAATTATTTACATTATATGAAATAAATAAAACCTATGTATTTGTTCTAACTACTTTATTAATTAAATGTAAACATTAACATTCATATTAAATGTTGTTCAAAGTAATTACCTTGAGCATATTAAGACAGGCTCGGCATCTTTCTTCAACAGCAGCAGTGACAGAACAGCGCTGGATATGTGTTATAGTTTCACAAGATTCAATTATCCTTCTTTGTAAGGAATTAAGGCCATTGACTGGACTTGCTCAATCATATCCCAATCAATAGATTGGTCGTGCAGGACCAGTGGCTTGGCCTGCATGCTCTCCAGACCTGACACCACTGGATTTTTTTGTTTGGGGCGACATTAAACAAAAATTCTATGCAAGTCCGGTCAATGACCTTAATTCCTTATGAAGAAGGATAATTGAATCTTGTGAAACAATAACACAAGTGCCATTCTGCCACTGCTGCCGTTGAAGAAAGATACTGAGCCTGTCTTAATGCTCAAGGAAATCACTTTTAAAAACATTTAATATGAACTTTAATGTTTACATTTAATTTATAAAGTAGTTAGAACAAATAAATAGCTTTTATTTATTTCATATAACGTAAATAATTCATAACAACGAAAATCTTTAGGTATGAATAACTCTTAAACAAAGCGTTTGCGGACATACCTTCAGAGGGATTTTTTCTTATTTTGAGGTCCTCAGTTCATTTTTGCAGTTTGGCTACTTAACCCTGAAGCATCCTGTAAATATAAACCATAAATCAATGGCTTATTTATAGCATGTACAATAATCCAAACTGTTATTTTGGGTACCAGTAAAACAAAAATAAGGGAAAGGATATTTGATTTCAATGAATGAAATAGCATGTACTGAATCTACATTTATTTCATGAATCATTGATCTATTTAATTATCATCTGACTAGTAATAAAATAAGTTAATAAAAGTATATTTGGTGGCAAAATCAATTCAGAGTAAGAATCCATTAATAAATTAATTATTCATTGACTCAAAGTCAACTGAGTTTAAAAATTCTTACTAGTAATATTTGAAAATACATAACTACTTATCTAGGAACAAGGTATTTATAGAGAAATATTTACAAACTAATATTTTGATTACATACTATACTGGTCTTTGATTGTTTCCAGAAGCTATAATTATGGTTACAAAAAGAAATTAAAAATAATAGGAGAGGCACAATCCTTAAAAACATAAGAAACATGTGCCACGAAAAGAACATTAAAGATAATAGGAGAGGCACTTTCCCAAAGGAGATAAGAAACATGTGCCACTATCTCTAACAATAAACTATAAAAATATATTTATATTAAACAAAATTTCAATTTTATCAAAATTAAAAGCTAACTGATATAAAAATAGATGCACAGAAAAAACCGCGTATAAATACATATTCATATATCGTAGTAGATATACCTCATTGCACAAAAAGAACAGAACAAAAATACATAAACTGTAAGAATTATCAATTTCTAAGAAAAAACATATATTGTCATTATGTATGGTTCTCTCATACTATACTTTTATTTTAGACTATCATTCAAAGGCTATTTTTACATTAATTATATTAAATAAGAAACATCCTTATTAAAACATACAGGATGTGTGGAGGTTCATAAAAAGGGTAATCCTATGAGGAAAGTTTTAAAAATAAAAGGAAAATAATCTAAAAATACAAGTCCTGAATAGAAACAGTAATGAAACTATACTGTGTCAACATTTAAATGTGTGAATCAATACAGATATTACCTAAGTCACTGTAATGAGAAATGTTGTAAAAGGTAGAAGTAACATTTATAAACATTTCATTTTAAAATCAATAGAAATCATGAATAATTTTTGAAAAATATTAATAATTTATAATAAAACTTGTTTTTTTTTTCTTTCTATTTTGAAACACCAGAGTCCTATGATTCTTTAATTTTTACACGGGTTACTACATATTTGTCCTTAACATATTTCATTAACTTCCTATCTTCATTCCTTTGATTTTTATCATATGAAGGAAAATACAGATTTTATAAAAATTATCACTGTCTTTCTCATATCAATGGGTGTTCATTCCATTCAATACCATTGATATTTCTCAATACTGGGCGAACCATTTAATATTTTCTCATCTCAATTTACTAAACTTTCCATCTCATAAAATGTCATCCAACTTAAGCAGAGACACCTCTAGTACTTCTAGTTCAAAATACCTGGCCTAGATTTAAATCCACACATGACAAAATTGTTACCAGAAGTTTTTTAAAATTCTAATATTGTATTAGTAGTATTCTTCAACTGATAAAAAAAATAAATGTACTATAGATGAAAAGTACCCAAAATGTTTAAAGGACAAATATGCAATATCATGAGTAAATCGAAATAATAACTAGTAAATCATGAAAACTTCTATTAGAATATTAAAATTGATTGTGAAAAAACTTTGAGCCACAAAAATAAAATTTTTGAAGTGGCTTATTCCTTTTTAGTGAAATTAAATAGTTGACAAGTGTGTACAAAACTGATATTTCTAGACAGCATATTACAAGCAATTTATCATATTTCTGAAGGTGTGTGAGTACTAGTTATTAGAATTTACACACTTATATAGATAAAATCCGTATATACATGAATCTTTAAGCATGTGTGTGGATGTGAGTATGCATATATACAGTTTATTACAAATTAAAAAAATAAATTGTAAACACTATCAACAACTACAAGTGAAAGATTCATAGCAATTTTGATTTTAACAAATGCAGGGCATCTATATATTATTTTTCAGTAACATGCATTCAAATACATCAATACTTCTATCCATTTATAATATTATTTAAAATCTTAACTTGAATTTATATAGTTTAAATGACATGTAATGATGAAATTTCATGCATCTATTTTTGAACATTAGTTTATATACACATAATAAATTATTTTAAGTTGATATTTTACCTAAGATTCAACTTGTACTAGGTTATATTTCAATTTCTTACCTATAAACACTTCAAAAAAATTCTGCATTTTATAATGTTGATAATTATATTAAAGAATATTCAAATAAACAGTATAATTATGACAATCAATATTGTTACAAAACTACCATTATTTAATAATAATGGCTCTGATTTAAAAAATCAAATTATAAGATCTTCTAAAGATAATAAATCAATCTCACATTGTCAATTTAAAATATTTTTGGCTTTTTAATTTTTCTAGTAAAAATAATTTTGACAATATATAAAAATATATCTAATGAAATCTTGAATCATATGTTAGCACCACACTGTCTTAACTAGAGCTACAATAAATGTTATAAAATACAGAATTTAAAGTCAGCATTGTACTCCAAATGAGTTTTGAAATTTGAACAGTCCAATTATTAAGAACAATTCATTCAATAAATATGTTATTTGTGTTTTAATATAAGAATTACCGAGGAAAAATGTTTATAGGTCAAACATGTTCTAAAGAAAAAGTAATTAAAAATAGGTTCTATGAATTATTATAAAAATAAATAAATACAAAAGTTTATTTAAAAATGAATTATGATAAAAAAACAGGAAGCAATTGTACATAGATATCAACTACTTAGAAATATTAAACCATTATATAAACTATAAAATATGACTGAAAAATAAAAATGATTTCATGAAGTTGGAAAATTAAACATCACAGAATATAAGGTATATATTTTATATAAAAAAAAATTATATATGTCAACACATAGTATTCATACATATAAAAACATTACACATGCATAAATATAAATTAATGTACAATAAAATAACTGAAATATATCAATAAAATTTCAAAGGGCAGTAGAAATATTTCTTGAACATTAATTATCAAAATAATAATTTCCAAAATAAAATATTATAAATCATTTTTGAAAATCAGTAATTCATTTTTTCTTTCCCAAGAATATGAAGTTTTATGGAAAAATTACATTTTCAAAATGTATTTATATTGAATTACATGCCAAAATAAAACCTATTTAAACGAAAAAGAGATAAATTAATACTAATGCAGATCACAGTTACTCAATAGTTCAGAAATATTATTTACAATTGTTCTTTTAGGCCCATCATGTCTAAAAGTGTGTATGCTGCTCCTAGAAAAATAATTCCTAAGAAATCTCCAATCGCAGTCAAATATGGAATGGTTGTTGTGTCAGGATTTATACTCCATTTCCAAACAAAGTGTGTCATAACATATGCTGAGTACATAAGTATGTAAACCTAAAAAAAAAAAACATTAATATTGAATACAAATATAAGCCAATTTAATAAAGTATAAAAATTAAAATTGTATAGAATAATAACAACACAAAACAGTTAGAACTGAATATTCCATATTTAACAGTGGAAGAAACCTTGAATCATTTTAATGTACTTTTTAAAATCGGAAACTTAATTATTAACATAAAATGTGTTAACTACGATTTTTTTTTTAAATTATTATTATTTTATTTTATTTTAGTATTGAGATTCAATGAGGTGAATGAAAATCCTAAAAGTGATAAATAATATTACAATACAGCATATAAATTTAATTTCCTCCAAGACTTTCAAAAGAATTTCTGGTGTTTGACCTAACTAAAGAGCTTGAACAGAGGTTAGTTATGCAAACATTATCAGATCAAAATTCACCTTATATTTCAATATTACTCCTTCGCATTAAATATGAAAGATTGCAATATTAAATATTTTCAATAAGTAAAGCTAAAATATAATTCTGAAACCATTCCAGATTCCATCAAAGCTTAATACAAGCACTACTACACTATACAACTGTTACTGCAGTCAGGACGCAGTCATTTTAGGATTTTTATTGTTGTTGCCAACATTTCAATCCAAGACCAATATAGCATCTCCACCTGCAACCAGTTCACTGCAAAACTAGCTAAGCATGCCATAACCCTTGACCATACATTCAATTTTGAGAACCCAAAAATTCTTGTCACAGTTTTCAACTATCAAAAACGATTACTTTCTGAGTCCATATTTATTTGAAAAAAAAAATAATCTGGTGAACCATAAAGTAGACAAAAAAAAAGATCTGTAATACACATTTTAACATTTTTCGCCTCTTTAAACAACAGCCCAAATTTTCATTTTCCCCCACTTTCCATGTCAACACAAACATATAACTATCCCTGTGTTTATATATATATATATATATATATATATATATATATATATATATATATAATATATATATATATATATATATATATATATATATAGTATGTATTTAAAAATATAGTCACAAATTACTATAAACAAAGTACACCTATGTTTATCTTTAAGTTATGAGCACAGGATGCCACAAAAATATCATATAATATATTGTACTACATATCATGTCCTTTTATTATAATACATTGTATTGTAAACAGTAATTATCATTCAATGTACATCATTATTTCTCAAACTATTGAAGTGTCATATCTGCTCTCTTATTTATTATCATTTCATTTCAAACCAATAGCTATAATTTGTTAATGATAAGGTATAACTTAGCTATTAATGTTAACATAAATATTGTATTTATCTATAGAATTGTCTCCCATAAGCAATAATGTTACCGTAACTCTCTGACTTTGTTGTTTTTAAGTTTGTTATTTTAAAAGTACGTCTGAAAGAATTCTCCTCGACCCTCCCGCTTCCATTCCTATGACCCTCCCAAGGCTCTGGAAAGTTGTCATATATGTTTTTAAATGAAAATTAAATAAATTATGGTTAAAAAAGAATTTCAATATTTCCTCATGAAAAAAATCAATAGCTAAAATTTATTTATCCTTTTGTAATCAATATTAATTGTATATCAGTTCTAATTGTTTTGTTTTTTTACCTACCTTCCATTGCTTAGACTGTCTTTACTTATAAAAATTGAGTGCGTGCAAAGTATTTTTTCTTGACATTTATATTGTAGCCTTAATAATCCTTTAACTTCACAAAAATATTATTGAATAAATTTTAAAAATACCATTATTGAATTGAATTTAAAATTAACCAATAAAATCTGAGAAATACAAAAATAAAATCACAAAGAGTAACACTACACAGCCTTGTCCTCATCATTAATAAAATATGATAGATGTTAATTTTTTAATGAAATGGTCAATTATTTCAAATAAACAAAACTATAGGTACTTTGGAGAAAGAAATTTTGAAAATTTGGCATTTAAATTCTGTCAAACTTTCCATGATAAAAAACCTGCCTGCTTTTAAAGAACTGCATGATCTTAAATTGATATTGATATAATGAGCTAAATCAAAGTCGTTTCAGCCATTTTTATAAAAGAAAAAGTAAAAATATTTAAAATCAATGTAACTTCCACTTCTGGTTAGTTGATTTTAGGAAACAAATTACTGTAACCTCCCAGGCATATACCTACTTTAAATTAATAATTTCAGTTTTATATGGCTTTTCGTTTTTGAGCTAGGTTGTCCACACAAACTCATACACACACACACACACACCTACACACAACACCTAGTGAGACTTGGTTATTTGTGATTAGGTGATGTATATTTCTGTTGAAAATTTGAATTAAAAAGTTTTCATGATCTAAGTACTTTCCTTTACTACATATTTCTTATACAGGTATGTGAAAGTAAAAATGAAGCACATATGCCCTGCTTATGACAGGTCATGACTAAACTTATTGTCTGTCTCCAAATGAGAGGAAAATGGTATGGAAATTGTATTTAATGATAAGAATGCTAGAGCCTCCTTGCGTAATAAAATAATATTCAAAAGGACCAAGGATGGATCAAAAGATAGAAGAAAGATAAAAAGACCATCTTGGCATAAAGATTATATAATGTATCAAACAGTGAAGAGGAAGCATTTTTTGCTGTTTTTCTCAGGGAAATGACCATTGAGGAGTTTCTGGATACTGTAAGGGAGAAGCTGTCGGTTTTTGAGAAGAGTGAAACATGGGAAGTTGTGCTGAGAACAACTGATGTAAAACCACTTGATACTAAATAGGTGTTTATTATCAAAACTCTTCCAGATACTTCAGTAGTTCATAAGACAAGATTAGTAGTAAAGGGTTTCAATAAAAGTAAAACTTAGCGAAAATATATTCTCCTGTATTAAAAATGCAAACATTAAGAGTCTTATTGTCAGTGGCTGTTTTTAGGAAGTATGAAATCCACTAGATGGATGTGAAGGGATCTTTCTTATATGGTAGGATTGATAAAGAGGTTATTGTAAAACTGGCATACCTAAAGGATGCACTCTAAAGTTGAAAAAATCTATATATGGTCTGAAAATGATTATTGTTTATTTAAAAAGTGTAGCATTATATGTGGACAATATTTTAATTTGAGGAGACAATATAAATGAAATAGAATCTTAAAAAAAATTATTTATATTCAAATTTTAGAACAAAAGAGATGAAAAACAATAACTTCAGATATCTTGGTATATGTATTAAGTAGGGAGGTGATAATCTTTAATCAATCAAAAGGAATATTTGAAATAAATTTTAATAAAATATAAAATGCATGAAAGTAAACCTTAAATGGGGACATGACACTAGAGCATAAGATCAGACCACTCATTGGTTCTCTTACGTATACAATTATATGTACAAGACCAGATTTAGTAGCTTCTGTGTATTTTGTTGTTTATTGTGATGTATATGTTAAATATGATGTATAAGTAATTTGTATTTTTTGTGTCTTTTATAAATAATTTATTTTTTCAAATACGCAGTATTTACTGTTTTTTAAAAGGGAGGTAGGATTGGGAAGGAGTGTTGAAAACATAACAATCCAAGGTTTAGTATAAATGTTAAGTGTGATCAATAGAGTATTGATAAGGTTCTTCTCGAGAGCTGGGGTGTTCTCCTCTAATTTGGAGGCGGGCAATAAGTAAAGTTGATTATCATTACCTGCCATAAGCAGGGTATTTTACTTTACAAGCAACATTTTTACTTTCACATACCTATATAAGAATTATATAGTAAATGAAAGTACTTAGATCATGAAAAATTTTTAATTCAAATTTTCAATAGAAATATACATCACCGTATCACAAATAACTAGGTCTCACATAATGGTGCATGTGGGTGTGTGTGAATGAGTTTGTGTGAACAACCTAGCTTAGAGGGTTTGATGTATGAGTTATCAAAGTTATAATAAATGTGTTCTTGTGGACTTGGTCTATTTTAGAGGTTACCTACCCTCATTCATTTTAAATAAGATTTAACAGACTTAAACTGGGATGTATCATAAAATTTAATGTAACAATCTTTAATGGTTAATTTTACAGTCAATATTAAACTTTTCCTAAATATCCACCAAGATTATTCTTTAATACTGACAAAACTTCTTTCACTAACTCTGTTGTTTCTGTCAGCTTAGATATTAGCCTTAATCAACCTATGCATTTTTGATATAATCCTTCTCTTTTTTCATTTATGGCCTTTTGTGTATTTTGTGAGTGTTTACTATCAGGAACATTTCATCAGCAAATATTTGAGCTTGCATTTGTATTATAAAGGCTCATGGCAGAAAATTTATTTATCTGTTTCATTGGCCGTGGGGCGACCCTGGATCGGGAGACCCTCCTGGGGCACACCCAGCCTCTATAAAGTGGGTACCCTTAATTAAATAATTGATTAAGGGGGAAAACCTGGCGGTTGAGCGTGATCTCAGTCAAATCACCTCCTTGCACAACTGTTGACCTAGAAACAGTGCTTTCCCTAAATAGTACTGAACCCAAGACCCTTCATGGGTTGTAGTGGTACAGGGTTTTTTTTTTGTATTATAAAAAGGTTTCTGGAGACTACTATGACACTTTTTTTTATCTCTTTTCTACATGTCTATAATTTATATTATCGCTATATCCACAACAAACAAATATTATTTACCTGAGACAGTGCTGCAATCACATAAAACAGCAGAAAAAGAGATCCTGTAGAAACAATGAAACTATGACGTACCAACATTATTACAACAGCAAACAACAGCTGTCCAGGTACAGCTAAACCCATTAATACTCTACAAGTTGCACTATAAGAATCTAAAAATAAAAATAGGTTGAAAAATTAACTAAATTAGACAATAGGTTTCAACATTAAACATGTTAAAAAAATCAAAATATTTTATGATTTTATAAATATGATACAACTACAGAACAGTCACCAACATGATGACAAAAGATTTATAAAGCTTAATATCCTGCAAGAGATGCAAATATATCTTAGACAACATAAAAACTATACATATTAAAATGAATTTAAAGTTGAATTTTATTAATATCAAATGTATTAAATTTCTATTAATAGATCTTAGTTTTTAATAATCTATGGAATTCATTTGAGAAAATAATTTAACACTTTTAAACATGTTTCAAGGCATGAGCATTCTTTGTCCATGAATCTCGTGGGATCGTTGGCCCAACCCCTGATGACAACTTACAAAGTAAATCGAAACATAGGCTATCAATAAATACTACACCATTGCAGTATGTAATTGTTCACTGAACCACCTGAGTAACTATTCCTTCAATTAAAATAATTGTCTATTTTTCACAATTTTATTCCTTCAAAATAAATAATTTTATTTTTAATACTAGTCATTTCAAGCTCTTGAATGCTATTGTGTTTCATCTTTTTTTAAAATAATTTTTATTATTTCTTTTACATGTTTGTTTGTAAAAAGCTCCTTTATTTATATCAAAGCTATCAAAATCATCTTATATTCCATATTGCTATATAATTTCAAATTATTAAGTTAAATTCTTAGCTTTCCTTGCATTAGCAACATCATAATTATCCATTATTTTTTTTAACAGTCTAAAGTTGGTTTTGAAAATTTGGTAAGAAAATCCATCGGATCACCTATACTAATAATCATTTGTTTAAGACCTTCTTCTAGCTTATGTAGTTAAACCAATCCATGAATTCTAGGGTCTATGTTTGTTTGCAGCTAACTTCAATTTTGTATATTTTCCACCAAATTTTGTATATTCCAATTTTTTTAATTTGTTAACATACAAGTTAATGTTTTTAGCTAAATCAGTGGGTTGATTCTGTCTTTTTACAATTCTTCTCTATAATGGTAAATTTCTTTGTCTTTTGATTTATTGATTTCTTGTAATTTGATTTAACTATTATTTATATTCATGAATATTTTTAATTATTTCAAGCACGGGCGGATCTATGGGGGTGGGACTTTATGGCTGAAGCCCCTCACCCCTAAAATGATAAAATATAACCATGTTTTCTGGAAAAAAAAATTAAAAAATTATCTCTTAAAGTATTATTGTTCATGTAATTACATTTAAAAGGACTTTAGGAATCACTTAAACACCATTTCATATGTTTAACTTTCTCATAAAGTAATTAATTACATTACATAGATGGTTCTTTGTGTCATCTATGTGGCATTCTGAAGAATCTATGTTCTCATAATGTTTTTGATAATCAGCAATTATGTGTATTATATATTTTTCCATGATAACTCCCTTGAATCAGAAATTGTCTCCTTATGATAATAAACTTTTACTGTGGTAAATAAATTTGGTATTTTTTATTAATAATACCAATCATAGTATATAAATGACTAATGACTTATTTACATTTGATATTAAGTTTCTATATATTTTATGTTATCTAGCAAACATTCAAAATTATGCTGAATTATTTTATTAATTTTCAGTTAATATTTTTTTTCAAATTCTAATTTTCTTGGTCTTCATACTATTCTATTTTTAATGTCTTCACAATTTCTTATATTTTTTTATTACTTAGATTTTAATCTAATATGCTTGCCATATTTTCAAATTCAAAATGATGTAAAACTATTAACTTGCATAAGAACAATATTAAAGACTCAATATGTGTTAATACAACAGTTTTAGCAAAACATGGTATAGTATAATTAATAATCATCACTTTGATTTCAATAAAATAAAAATATTGAATGTGTGAAAAATAACAAAATTAGGAAAGATTTGGAATTAATATATACATAGTAAAATATAGCAAATTCTAAAACTAGTATTAAAGGTATAGGGTAGCACTATGTGGATATACTTTAAAATAAATGTTTAAAAAGTACTGAAAATAAATTGAAATGCAATAGGAGATTTACCAACATGCAAAATAGGTAACATTAGAAAAATCCTCAGTAATAACAGTATCGATCACAGTACATTTTCAAATGGGCTTGACTTATGGCATGTAACTATATTTTAACATTTTTGACAATAGAAATAATTGAGCAAAATTGTTTAAAATAATTATTTTGTTTTAAATTAGATTATTATTTATGTGGTTTGTTTTCAGAATAAAATATTATGATATATATAGGAGCAAGCAAGGATCTTACACTAAATAAACATAGCGGACGGTTGTGTTAGACACTATCTGAACTCATAAATGGCTTGTAATTATGTAGTTAGGAAAAATAAGCCCTCAAAAGGCAACAAATTGGGAGAATGATGGCCAACACAAGTTATGGGAATTTTTTCGTACATATTGGAAAAGCAGTTTTCACATCAATCCAATGAATAATGTGGTCAGGGCAGTGTCTCATAAGTCAACCAAACAGTCAATAACACAAGTAAATAATCAACAGATTAGAGTTATCTTACCTCTAGAATATAGTATTTTTATTGGTGAAATTACAATATCCGTATTCTCTGGTAAATCACCTAGATGAGATTTCATATGAAGCAGTGTAGACAAACGACTAGCTTGAATAGATACTAAATTTCCTCCCACACCATTCATCACTGGTTGGAAGGCAGGTAACGTTTTGTACCTCTCCATAAAATTCTTTAATGAGATGCCTCCAAGACTAAACAAACATAATAAATTTCTATTATTCAGACATTATATAACTCATAACAAGTTTACAAATATTTTATTAATTTTGAATTTATTCATATTACATTTAAAACTTGGCCTTTAGGCAAATTTGATATATTTCATAGGACCAATTTCATTATCACCAGAGACTGAAATTTTATGTTATTGCACATACAATTTTTTTAGACGTTTAAAACTTGTCAATTCTTTTCCAGCCTTCAAACCATTGCCCTGATGATAACCCACATGTTTGGGTCAAAACGTAGAAAAACCCAATACAGACGTTTTTGAATGAACAGCCTGACCATATTTTCTCCTTAAAACTGATCATTTTCTAATTCACATTTTTCAAATAATGCATTAAAATTAAACATTGCAATAAATTACATATTTTACTCTCGAGTCAAATGGAACGATTTTGTAGAATATTTTTCAATTTTTGGAGTGAAAATTCCCACTTTAAGTACAAAAACATATATTTGTAAGTAGCTAAGTACATACATAGGTAAATATTTTATTATGATTATTTTTATTCTTATTAAACATATTACTGAAGTAAGGTATTAAGTTATTCCAGATTTACGTTCATCATAATTTATTATTAAACAAAAAATAAAGGTTTTCTCATATATTATTGTATTATATGTAACATGTAATTTTAATTCAGAGACTGTAAGTTACAAGTAGTGTTGCCCAAAATCGGTCTTGGTCTCGCACTTTGCAAGACCAAGACTAAGGCCCCCTAACTGTTGCAAGACCAAGACCAGGACTGGTAAAAAAAATAGATTTTTTAAATAAAAATTAAGACAAAATAGTTACTTATACTTGACAATCTTAGTTGCTATATGTTATTAATTGGTGTAACCAATATAACTTTTGCATTTAACTCCTCAAAATTACAGTAATATCTCTATAGTAATAAGCTAATAAGTAACTGAAAGACTGTTGCGAGATTCTTGCGCAAGACCAAGACCATGACCAAGACTGAGTTTGCAAGACCAAGACTCGCCTCGGTCTCGCATTTGGGCAACACTAGTTACAAGGGTGCTTATCCTTCCCAAGATCAATGGCGCAAGAATTTACCCCTTCCTCTCCCAAGATATTTTATAGCTCACTTTCTTAAAAACAGAGTAAGAGAAAGTAGAATTGGAAAAGTCATAGATTATATACAATTAAACTTGCAGCAGTCTGGTCCATGCTTCTTCCCTTGTCACCAGGATTGAAACTTAGCATTCCAAAAATTCATAACCCCTTAGAAATTTGCCCCGTCAAAAATTCAAAAAAACCCTTTAAAATATGCCTCCATCAAAAATTTTGATGGCCTGACTTGCGACATAAAACCCCCTTCTGGACCACCCTTTGCACAAGTTGGATGGGCTTATTATAAATAAAATAAAAACGATTTTATAAAAAATTGATTATATAAAAATGATTTTTGTATTTTTATGGTGTTATATATGCAATTTCACAAAGTTCGGGTTTTCACTGCACAATTTTACACATTTCGGTTTTTTTTTTTTTTTTACTGCTACCGTTTTGCTCTACAAAAATATTCCTATAATGATCATCCAAAAATAATTTATATTTTGCATTATTACTAAATTAAGCTTATATTGATTTATAAACTAATTTAGCATTTTCATTGTTGTATAAAAACATCTAGGATTTGATTTTCTCAAAACAGTGATCTTAAAATTTAAGTATATATATATATATATATATATATATATATATATATATATATATATTTTATAAGGCTACCACATAATTACAGATAATACATTTAATTACTAAAATATAACAAAGGACCATTTAAACTGTACTTTAAAATGGTTGTTTTACATTACATGTTAATCATTTATGGATTATTACAATATAATGAAATTAATTTAATTTAAGGATTGATATTTAATACTCCCAACAATAACAATGCTTCAGGAAATTTTATAATGCTTCTACCATCAAAATATACCTCAATTGCTATATTTAAACAACACTAAGCCTAACCAGTAGTCATGAGTTATGAATTTCCTTATGAGCCGACTAACTGGTTGCTGGAATACTTCATAAATTTTTCAAGGAGATAAGGAATTAAAAAGTATCAACTCGGTCTTATGAAGGCTGAACAGTAGCTACTTAAAAATAAATAGTAAACAGGTGTGAATAATCAAAGATGTGAGGACAAAGTATATTAGATCACCATAAATTTCAAAACACTAACCGCTGTCTAGACGAAAATTAATTCCAACTTCATGCGTTTCATGAACCTAATCCTTTTTTTTAATTGTTGTAAGTCCGTTACACTTAACTTATATATATATATATATATATATATATATATATGTGTGTGTGTGTGTGTGTAATATATATGTAATATATATATATATATATATATATATATATATATATATATATATATATATATATATATATATATATATAACTATATATAATTCAAAAATATTTTATAGACTTATCTTTCAGAGCCATTGAGGCCAGTTTAAAATTCCAAGAAACATTAGGATTTGGCATTCCACAAAGGGAAATGTACCTACCTATAAAACCATTTCCTCTAACATCATTATCTATAACAGGTTCCAGTCAAAGAAACTGACATCAAATAGATACAATTGTATTAAATACAGAAAATACTATTATTTTAAATATACAGAGGTGCTCATTCACTCCCTCCGTAGGTTGATGATGCATGTATCTTTATCCCCTCCCCTCTATCCAAGAAATTTTATAACTCTCTTCTTGTTATGAAACAGTTCTAATGAAAGTATAATTATAATAATTATTGTTTATATCTAAATGAGGATCAAATGTTTTAGAATAAAGAACAACTTTTCATTTTATTTTAACTAATCAATATAAAATTATTGGCCTATTTTCTGCTTATAAATACAAAATAAAGTGAAACTAACATATTATTGAATATAAACAAACATATACATATACATACGTGCTGATCAACATAGCTAAAATAACAGGAACCCAACCAGAAGAAACCACTTTAGAAGTATGTGGATTTCTTCTTGCAAACCAAAACAGAAATGGTAACATCATAATGTAAACAGCAATTATGATAATGCAAATCCAGATATTATTATCTAAAACAAAGGATATAAATAATATAATTTTACCAAGAATTCATAATTTAAAAAAAAAAGGTTACAAGATTATATATATATATATATATATATATATATATATATATATATATATATATATATATATATATATATAGACCCAAGATTTATATATAACAACAGAATATCCAAAAGATTAAATTGAAATCATTTCCTGTGTTAAAAATTTATAGATCTGAGAAATAAAAATTGATAACATCACAAACATACAACCAGAACATATAGTAGTAATATTCATATCCATGAATAGTTAATAAAAATAATAGTTATAAATTTTAGCTTTGAATAGTTTAATAAATCAACAATCTTTTAGTGATAAATATATAAGTGTATTTAAATTTACTCATAAGAAGCAGTTTAAGATAACTTTAACTTTCTTCCCTACTATTCATTGTAAAAGAATAAATCAAAGTTTATCAAATTATTCAGATTATTGAATTTAAAATTTGATCTACAGAAATTTATTTTTTCAAATTAAATTGATTGCAAACACTCCCATGACTCAAACAGAATCATATAATTTTTATGAAAAATTAAAAAAGCTAAGTTAATTTATGGTCTGTATAAGAGAAAGAAATAAAAAAAGCCATTCTTACCTATTGTTTTGTACAATTCAGTAGCAAGTAATGATATAATTAATATGGAAGTTATATCACCAAGACTTGCAGCCATGGGTGTTGCGATGTTATCAGGATTAACTTTGAAGTAGATTGAAAAAATTACTATAAAGCCAGTAACAACAGCTGGAACAAACAAATTTATTCATTTACAAATAAATAAATATATATCATTTTACACAGACACATACATACATACATACATACATACATACATACATACATACATACATACATATATATATACACACATATATAAAACACGTACATATGAAACATATGAAAAATGGGCTATTAAATATCAGCTAAAAATCAAAAAATGATAAATCACAAAAATAATAGAAAACTAATAAAGTTATTCATACCAAGAATAAAACTTGCAAGTGAGGCTGTTGAAATACAACATGCAAAGAGCATAATTATATGCTCAATAATTATCATATTTCCTTCTACTATAATCAAAAGACATCCAGTGGAGCATGCTAATATTGCTATTACAATAGCTTGTAACTGAAACATAATATTCAGTATTAATTACAAGATTAGGACATATATTACCTATATGTAAATATTTATATATTTCCAATATATATTCTACTTATTTTAAGATTATAAGAAAAAAAATATGTGATTGAAAAAAATAAATTACACTCAGAATGGAGTCCGAAACAAAATATACTGCAACACATTTAATTATTAATTTAAAAATCTGTAACATCAATTATAACAAGTACAAATTAATGGTATACTGACATAATATTAGTGATTAGATGATATATCAGTTTATAAGATAAAATATTCATATCCATGAATAACTACTGTTTTATAAAAAACATTAACAAAAAAACAGTTAAGTATAATTGATTTTAAAATTTATAATATAGATAATTTATTGTGATTATAAATGAAAATGCATACTATGAGAACTGAAAAGTGGTAATAATAAATATACCACATCAACTTTGATTTACTTGCTTTCATTTTTACTGAATAGATGTCAAGTTTTAAATCAATACGCCTAACATAAAGTTAAAAAATGGCTCATTGATTACCGTTGTCATCCATATTGTCTTATACATAAGCACTATGACTGCAACATCCGTATCCTACGAGTTATTCTTTTCCAATCTTGGTTCAAAAGATAAGGAAAAATCTCATGACAATTAGTGACTATGTACCTCATAATTTCTGAAGTGACTCCATCCAGTCTCATTGATATGTATAGTTTCATTGTGGAGATAGCCTCCTGCACTCCTCTTCCTGAAGGTAAACATATTTAACTCATGGATCTTTCTCAGTGGTCCAGGTTCCCGTTCTGGCTTACATCTCTTTCTTTCAGCTATTTTTTAAGTAATCTCTTCATTATGTCCCCAATTGGCCAGATAATGTTTCCATTTCTGCACTTAATTTCTTTTAGCTTTGGTGGTCTCTTCTTTAACATTACTTAAAGGACTTTTTGTTTCTCTATCTCATTTTCTTCTAGTTTTAGGCCTACATCTGCCCAAGATCTTTCTTATTTGCTAGAAGTACATGATCTCTGGTTTCCTTTCTCCTATCTTAGTACGTTTTGGGGGCACTGGGATTTTTTTTTTTTTTTTTTGGCTCAAGATGTCTTTTAAGGATTCTTTGTTCTCAAAATTCATCTGGTCACAGATATGCCTCACGCCATCGAGGACAATATTTCTAAATGCTATCTAACTTTCTTCAACATAAATGCTATCCCATGGACATACATATTCTCGTGACATTTTTCACAGTTCTTCACGATAGTGATGCAACATTTCTTGGTCTTATATCCTATAAGATTAAATGGCTTTCTTTCTATTGCATGCGGTTTCTCTCTCCTTTGTTATTTTATTTCAAATTTTGTCCAGCAATAAAAGATTGAGGTAACTTCCTGTTTCAAAGCTCAAATTATTAAGTCTTTATTGAAACTATTGTTAATTGAAAAGCTAGAACTAGTGTCCATGGATGAGGCAGCTGAGTTTAAGTGGTGGGGAGAACAGTCTACTTATAATCAGACTCTGGACAAACAGGTGTTTATTATTATTGTTATACTCTAGTCTCCTATCCTTTTAAATTAATTAAGCTTTTGATCGAGTCTGGCACCCAGGACTGCTTTACAAACTCCGTAAATTCCTACACCCTACATACTTCCTCATTATCCGTTCCTATCTAACTGATAGATCCTTCAAAGTAAATGATAATAATGCCTATTCATCACTTTTTTCCCAGTCCGCTGGTGTTCCTCAAGGTAATATCCTAGGTCCTATCCTTTACACAGTTTATACAGCTGATATCCCAACCCATCCTAACACTGTCATTACCACGTATGCCGATGATACATGTGTCCTAGCAATTAATAGCGACCCAACAATTGCATCCCAAACCCTTCAATCACACATCACAAACCTTGAAGAATGGTTTCAAAACTGGAGGATCAAAATAAATTCCAATAAATCCCATCAAATCACCTTTACCCTTCGTCGTAAACCTATGTCCTCTTGTCCTACAGTATCCTTTAATAATATCCCACTTATCCCTGTTGAACAAATTCGATACCTTGGACTCCACTTAGACAAACGTCTAACTTGGAATCCTCATACCAGACTGAAACGACAAGAAACAGCTCGACGTTTCCGACTACTCCAGCACTTACTAGACAAACGCTCTAATCTCCCAGTCAATTACAAAAGACTCATATACATGACTACAATAAGACCTATTTGGACTTACGGAATTGAGCTCTGGGGCTCCACTAAGCCATCGAATTCCTCTCGTATCCAATCCTTACAATCCAAAATCCTTCGTAAAATCCTCACAGCTCCTTAATTCGTCACAAACAAAATCATCCATAACGACCTTAATGTTCCGTATGTTTCTGACCTGGCCCAATCCAGATACCTTTCCTTCCATAAAAAACTTCACAACCATCCTAACCCTCTCGTTTCTAACCTTGCTTCCTTTTCGATCCTAGACAACCCTCCGAGGCGTCTGAAAAGAAGATGGCCTCGAGATCTCCTTTTGTAAATACATTTTTAGAGTGCTACCAGTGGGTAGTTTCTCAACAAATGATTTCATGCTTTTATATTCTTTTGTTCACATTTACTAAATGTATTTTTACTTGTAATACAGTTGTAAATATCATCAATTAAAAAAAAAATTAATTAAAATATTTATCAAGATGGTCAACTGCTAAATTTACACGAAGTCTGTGAGCCGAGTTGACTAAACTAAAATAACCTGTCAAAAATGTATTTCACATAAAATGTACTAAAATTGATACTGTGGGCTCAGAAGACATGAAAGAAATTACTAAAAAATGGGCATGTCTCTATTGCGAATTGGCATCGCTGACATCACCGGCTTCTGAGTCCAGTACAATAAGAGGCCTGATGAGGGCGCTAACTGTGGAGTTTAGGGAAATGAAAATTATCAAAGCTTCAGGGCATTCACGATTTAAAAGACATTAAGGAAACTTTCCAGAAACAATATGAGCTCTCTTTTAAAAATATGGAGAGATTATTGAAAATTGAAACATTCCTAGAGAAACAAAATAGTAAGGTAACAAAAAATTAACTGTAAAAAATAACACTCTAAAAGAAAAAATGACTGAACTAGAGAGCCGAATAAATTATGCAGAGCAGCAGCAGTTAACGAACAAGATAAAAATAAGATGAATTCCTGATAAGTCGGAAGAAACCGCGATAGTTTTCTTGACTTGTTCTGTGCTGGTCTTGCCTTATTTAAGCTGTGTCACAACGATCTGGACCACGCAGCGTGACTCATACCTAAACAGGAAGGAACCCTGGACCCTATTATCATAAGATTTGTCAAGCAAACCCGGAGAGAAGACCTGGTGCAGCAGAAAGGAGCAAAGATAGACTCAACACGTCATCTAGGCTGGGGACCCCCGCTAATTAAATCCTCTACTGGCTAGTCAGGCAAAAGAAGATTAGAGCAAATATCAAATATGTCTGGTTCAGTGGAGGTAGAGTGAGGTGTAAGTGAAAGTCAAATGGTTACCTGGCGGTTATTATAGTCAACACTAGTAACTTAGCAGTTGATCTGTGTATGCAAGTTATCTAATCGTAGTAAATATTTTGTTTATTTTTATAAAAGATATTTTGATTATATTTATTTTCTTCTTATATTCTGGCACAAATGCACTTTATTTGATAAGCTACCATTTTCTTTGTATTACCTATATTTATTTCAATTCAAGCCATTTTTATTGTTTCTTATGATTTTATTCAATCTCTTTAGGAAATTTATTTCGAATAATTTAGTCCATAACATTCTCATCGCAATGCTTAAGTTTTTGCTATATGAAAACTGAATTTTATATAACTAGTTGTTATATCCTATCCCTTATCCTCAATTCTTTCTCCTTCAATTCGACTTACCAAACCCTCAATTATGACTAGCATCCTGAACTCCAGTTACGTTAAGGATCAATCTCTTGCCCACCATGAGGAATTCCAAAAATGTTTCCTTGATCAATTTTTATCATATAAAATCAGTATCTGAAACTTGGCTAAAACCTTTTATCCTTTCCTCCCAGACTCTCATCCCCAATTACTCTTTCCTACTTAATGACAGATCTGATGGCATGGGAGATGGTGTCGGATTATATATTAGTAAGTATGACAAGTGTTATGACAAAACTGAGGGATTACTCTCAGAAAGTATTCAAGACAGACCAAGTTCCGAATGCACCCCGTACCTTTTTCCTTTGAGAAGGAATCAAATCATAAAAAGTAATCCAAAACTGCCCGTTTCTAACATATATACACAGATTCATGGAAATTTGAATGATATCTTAACAGACAGAAAATACATGCATACCTGGACCAAAGCAATGTTTCCAGTCATGATAGACAAATGATCTTTAGAGTTGTTCATCATGCCTAGATTTGCTTCAGTAGAAAGTCGAGCTGCTAATGTCATTTCAAGATTTCCTTTCAAGCCAAGAAGAGCAGGAACCAGGACAATTATTTCTGGAACTTCTTTAAATGCCACCCACTCCTGAAAATATTATGAAATCAATTACATTTTTCAAATTTATTTCAAATTTCAATGTCTATTTATTCCAAATGTTTAAATGGCTCCAAAATACAACTAACGTTGAATTTTAAACTCATTACTAGCATTACAAGCATGCCATTAAAACAAACTTCTCATGATACATTTATGTTAAAAAAGCAATACACAATTACCTGAATATAATCAAAATATAATCCAGCTAAAACCATTGCTCCACCAGCAATAAAAAACGGTATAGTGACCTGTTTTAAAAGAGCCCAAATTGAATCATCATCATCGGCCCTTTCTTGGTCACATATTTCAGGGCCAATTTTCATTGAGCTACTGTTAGGACTAGTTTCCATCTTGCCACGGTCTTTGCTGAAACATGAGAAGTTGAAATTGATAGTTATATACGGGAAATAGAAAATTAGAATATGTATCATTATAAGTACAAGATAAAAGTTAAACATAACATGAACCCTATTTAATGAAGACGATGTGCTAATATCTCATAATTTAATGTAATAGATATTTTAAAGTTGTTAGGTATTTAAAGTTTAAAGTCCAAAGCCTGAAACCTATTCTGAAATAGCCCGGTAATCGCATAATTATTATGTACGCATGATTTTCCAGAGGACTCGAGTAATTACCGGGCATGCTTCTGGTAAAAGGATTTTTTTTTTTTACTAAATATGCTTAACTCAAACTAATGCTATGTCGAGGTTATTAACAATATAAATAGAAACTCACAAATCAAATGATTTTTGACGAGTAGTTAACAACTTTAGGGAGCGGGGTAGCTCAGCGGACCACTAAAGCTTAAGGTCCCAGGTTCGAATCCGGCTGATTGCCTGTAATTACTTATTCTGTTTCATCGGCCGTGGATCGACAATGGTGTCTGAAGAGAATTAAAGGTATTTCAGAGGAAGAAATTTTGTAAATTAGGCATTTAAGCCCTAATAGAAAACTTCAATGAGAATAAGACCAACATTATATGAAAACATGGTTAATTTTGCACTGATATAATGAATTTAATCAAACTCGTTTGGCCATTTTTCAGGAAATCGTAAAAATGTCTAAAATCGATAATATAAAGTAACACTTCCGGTTAGCCGATTTTAACGAAAAAGTTACTGTATCATACGAGCTATACACAAACCTTAAATACATTATTTCAGTTTCGTTCGACTTTTAGTTTTTGAGCTAGGCTGTTCACACACACAAAAACCATTTTGCGGGTCTTGGTTATTTTGACTTAGGGGATCTCAAACTTTATGAGATCATAATAAAAAAACACATTTCCATTGACACTTTTTATGATGAATAATAAAAAAAATATTTATTTGAAAAATAAAATTCCTCTCAAATAAAAAGTTTATTACAATACAATTACGTTTATTATAATACAGCCCAGGTAAAAAAAAAAAAGGTTTGCAACAATTTATTGTAGTAATGTTTGCTAGAAACACGGGTACATTAAGGTGACAGGACATAAAATTGCATCATTTGTAGAGGATTGCCAATCACCCTAGTGGGTAGAGAGAGGCAAACAAACAAACAAATAAATAAATTCTATTTTTATTTAAAGGTAATTTTGTCTAGTTTACTGCGATGCAATTGTTAATTACCTAAAATAAATATTTTTTTAATTATTGCTTCTTATTGAACAATAAACGTGATTTACTTTGAAAATACTAAACTTAAATTTCCCACTTTCCTGCTGAAAATCGTCCCATTAATTATATATTTTATTTTATTGATATATATATATATTTTATTTTTATTTTATATACATTACATATATCATATATGTTTTGTAATGGTCTTTATAATAAATTTTATACTATAAAGTCACTAACTATTCTTACATTACTTGTTCTTTTTTTATAGACATTAGAATTTTTTTTTTTTTTTTTTCTAAGAAACGGTAAGACATTTTTCTTAAGAGACACATTTAAATCAAAAGCAAAAAAATAAGTCAGTATTTCTCGTTCAAGCCTAAATTTTATTTTTAAAAACACCAGTTGAGATGATAATTAAAGGCTTCTAATAGCTAACCGGTCTTCAGAAAGGCAGTTGGCAATATAGGTACTGTTTCAACAGCCTGCTATCAGGGCTGCAAATCCGGTTTAATAATCCTATGTACACAGGGTGTCGGTGGGTTGAGAAATCAAAGGATTACTATACAATTATATAATGGTCATCAACTTAAAAATAGATAATAGATTCTGATAAAAATTAAGTAATGGTGTTCAATTCAGGTACAGTCATTGAATATTTTAAATTATTTTCACACTGATAATACAAACAAATTAAAAATAAAGGTGTTTGAAGGAAAAAAAAAATAAATTAAATTAAAATTTGGTAAAATGTAATGAGTTTAATTATTATTGATTATAAGAAGGATAAGGCTTATTTTAATTAACGAAACGGACAACTGTGCTTAAATATGGATTTAATTCATTATGTAAATTAAATTATTTTATTTTAATTATTTTATTTGACCTCTTATAAGGAGACGGAACAGCACCTACATACTCCCTTAATACTTTGAAACAGCCTTTACTGACTTCTAAATTTTCATCCTCAACAGATTTGCAGGATAATATGTGTAGTGCTTAGAAACAAAATAATACAACTAAATTACTTTTTTTGAGACCCCATTTTGGATTTTGAGTGAGGCTTAAGTGTATACATTTCTGAGGTGTAGGATAAAAAAAAAAATCAACTAATAAATAAGTTTTCTTTTCCTATTTAAAGTGACACATCGAAAGGATGTATTGTTATTATCAAAATTGGGCTCTCATGTGTGACACTTTTAATCCACACATATTTCCTACTAGCTACCAATACTTTTAAAAAGATAAAATGCATGGCTCAAAAACTTCCAAATATATCTAAATTAAAATACCTCTGATCATTTGACAACAAATCAAAAATTATCTTAAATAAATTTTTGTTGAGTGAGAAAATTTAAATAAAAAATAACATTAAATAGGGGCCGCGGTGGTGGATGGAGTTAAGACACCTGAAAATTTTTTATAACAAGTGTTCAAATCCCGTTCGCGAGAATTAATAACACACAAAAAAATTAATAATAATTTTTTTTTTATATATTTAGAAATATAATAATCTGTCACGTGAATAATAATTATAGTGATATATGAACACATTCACACCATATATACAGAAATATATAAAATTAACAAAATTAAAATAATAATAAAAAAATATGTAAAATAAAAAAATAAAATAACCTAAAAAAAATAATAAATTAATATAATCAAGTGCAGGCCCCTTACTGGACTACTTAGACCACTACGGCGCGGGTTCGATTCCCGCATGGAGACGGTAACGTCCTCACCCTGAGATTCATAGGGAGGAGTGCGACCCCTGTGTCTTAAACCATAGTTCCTGGTCCTTCCAATAGGGGGTTTGGTATAGAGGTGATAATCCCCTATCCTATAAAAAACTGGGTGGAATATTAAAGCAAAAGATTGCCAACCATCCTGCAGGAAAGTTCCTGATGAAGAGGGAGTGAAATGCGATCGCGTCCGGCTAGTAAACCACGTGCTCCCTGGACATCTCGAAGAAGAGAGAACAAAACGATCACTACTGTCCACGGGCGGATCAACGGGGGGGAGGAGGAGGGGCTTTCGGGCTGAGGCTCCTCCCAAAATGGTAAAATATAACCACGTTTAACGGAAATATATATTAAAAAATTATCTCTTATTATTGTTCATGTAATTACATTTAAAAGGACTTAAGGAATCACTTAAACACCATTTCATATAGATAGTTAGTTTCTTTCTTTTTTTCAAAAGTAATTATCGTCATTTTTATGAAAAAATAGCTTTCGGGCTGAACCCCCCCCCCAAAAAAAAATTAAATCCTGGATCTGCTAGTGCTACTGTCGACTGTAACAGCCTCAAGCTGCTGAAGAAGACGAAGACTCGTTACTTAAAAAGTCGAAGTCAATAGGCGTAGGGGAAAAAACAAACTTATTTTAGTGTTACTTTTTTCCCTCTAAGTAAAACCCAAAATGCTATATATTTTTTTAAATTTCAACTAAAGGTTTAAGAGGGGTTTTTCAAAGTGAAAAAAATCTATGAATTCAATTGGTCATTTAACCACTTTTTAATTAATAAGATAAACTGTACAAATAAACTACTGCCAAACGAAATATAAATCCTAAAAGTAAACATTCATACCTTAGATAAGAAAAGTTCCTAAACTCAGTGCATCCATGGCATTTGGATCCGTCTCAAAACATTCGCGAAACAATACCATTTTAAACATATGAGCGTTAACATTAATGAGTTCAACGTCAAGTTTAAGAACTTGTCGCTATTTGATTTTAATCCTTAGTTATTGTTTTAAAATATGTTAATACAAGTTGTTTACTTTTGTCCATACAAATGTTTATTTATCTTTTGGTTTGTCCAATCTTACTTTAAAGATTTCCTCAAATCCGTCTTTTGTCTCCTAATGATATTACATAATTCATCAGTTTTGATTGTGCCAAAATGAGATGTGTAAAAGATTACACTATTTGACCCGAATTTGAATATGATCAAGAACGTAAGAGTAAGTTTATTGTTTAAAACTAATAGATAAATAAAACAAATTAAATTTCCTTTTTTTTCCTAAATAAAATTAGTATTATTTCTTAAATATTTATTATTCAAATATCATTTTTCCAGATTTCATCTCAATATCATAATTTTTAAAATGAATTAAACACATTTTTAGATAGATTTTTCCACATTTAATGAAATTAAACCACTTTTAGTTGCTCGCTCTAATTTCATGCAAGAAAAACCGCTTCTAGCAAAAAAAAATACAGCTCAAAAATTATAGTAATTTTATCATAGTTATACTTAGTTATTTTTTCACAAAAATAACGCTTTTTTTAATTTAAATTAAATATTAGTCATAAATTACCAAATATCTTTTACCAAATTGCACAAATGTTAGCAATTAATTTTAACTTATTATATATATATATATATATATATATATATATATATATATATATATATATATATTTGTTTTTTTTTTAATATAAAATAACTTTGAAAAAAAATATTTTGATTTGACCAAAAAATACTCTTCAAATTCAATATGCTATTCTTAAGGTTCTTGTTTTGTTTTGTTTTTTTCAACTAACAAAGAAGATATAGATACTAGGGGGACCGGAAAGTAATATAGTTTCTGAGCATGTCACTATTTGATTGTCATTGGTCAGCTCATGTGTATATCTTTGTCGTGGCAGAGACATCCTAAGGTTATAATGACTTCTTAAGTTGTGAATAATAAAATTAAAATTTCTTTTTGCAATTTTGGTGAAATGGCCAAATACTACAAGAGGTACATAA